ACGGCTTTGAATGCCGAGGTTCGTCGAACCAAGGGTAGACTCATGGATGAAATTCCTAAACTCCGCAAATTGGCCAATAAGAAGGTCAACCTTCTTTCACAATCATCATCTCTAACGTTTCACTTTGACTGCCATGTTTCTTTACTTTTTATCATATTAAGAATGCTAATACAAGGTTGTAAATGAAAATCAGTGCTATTTAAATATATTTTCATAAAAGACTGCAAATTGAAACACATGATTAGTAGATAACTTTGTCAAGGTATTCTATCTGTGATCTGTGTATGAAAAAAACATTTGTTAAAAGAGGTTAACTCTTTAGATGGATCTCATACATCGAGAGATTAGTCCTCTCATTCTGTTATATATACATGTTCATAAGAGGGAAGGTTTTGGTATGCTTCACTTTGATTTGTGTCTTGGCTCTATGTTATCTTTGACTAGCAATAACGGGAGCAAGATTTTGGTGGCATTTCAAAATGATAAAATCTAATACTATCATGAACAGGTTAAAGGTCTCACAAAAGAGGATATCGCCGTTCGTCAGGATCTTGTTTTGGCATTGCCCGAGAGAATTGAAGCGATACCGGATGGGATTACTGGTATTCAAACTGCAGGATGGAGCTCTAACTCGTCTCAGCCGCAAATCAAGTTTGATTCAGGTGATCAGTGTTGTTCATATTAATTATTAAATACATTTATAGCAGCATTTGGATTATTTTTTTAAGAATATTGTCTTTTTCATTCTCAATCTCAGAGGGACAGCTTGACAGTGACTATTTTCAACAAAGTGAAGAATCCAGTCAGTTTAGACAAGAATATGAGATGCGCAGGATGAAACAGGTATGTATGCAATATTCCTGTTGTATTTCAATTACCTTTTCTATTTTGATTGCTAAATTAGGCAATACCCAAGGTTTATATATTAATTGTTAAATTTTTATTTGAATAGGATGAAGGGCTTGATATCATATCAGAGGGATTGGATACTTTGAAGAATTTGGCGAGTGATATGAATGAGGTTTGTTGTGTCGTGCATCTAGCTCTGTTTGGGAATTCCATTGAAAGATGTTGGATTTTAAGAGATAACCATTTTCTCATTTTTTCCTTCACTATGTTCAGGAATTGGATCGGCAAGTTCCTTTAATGGATGAAATTGATGCAAAGGTAAACGAGTTATTTATTAATTCAATTTTTCTTTTCTATGTTCAGATTGATAGTTTTCACAAAAAAGATTGTCATGAATGCATATAAAGGTGACTCGTACGTGGCTTAATTTAACAGGTGGATAGGGCAGCGGCCGATGTAAGAAACACTAACGTAAGGCTGAAGAAAACACTCACCGAGGTATTTGACATGTTTAATTGCACTCTCCATTTTGTGGAAATTTGAAATTTCAATTGAATCACAAACTAGCAATTTTTGTTTCCTCTCCAGATAAGGTCTAGTCGAAATTTCTGCATTGACATCATTCTGCTATGTGTTCTTCTTGGAATCGTTATGTATTTATACAAGTAAGTCCTTTGACCTATCTCCAATGTCCAAACCTTCTAATTCGACAATTGGTGGGTGACAAGAAAAAATTGTTTTTGTTGTCAAAAAGTTTGCTTGCTCCATTGTTAATTAGCTTTCACTATTGAACTCTGCTAACAGTTAATTGATTCACTCGATTTCTAACATCACTTCTCTTTATTTCAGTGCTCTGAAGTGACTTGATATTCAATTCTTTCCCTTGTTGTACCGGTGTCCGGTTGTAATATGGTATTACATCCTTGGGCTATCCGAGGGCTTTCAGTATAATTTTCCAATATCACGTCATGGTTCAGCTGCTGGAGGATGGAAAAATATTTTATACCACTGTACTCTGTAACTCTTTCATGTATTAATGGCCAATTGGATATGTATCATTCTTTTCTATAAAATACGTTTTCTTGCCTACTATTTCTCTTTGCATGGAGTCTTCGTATACTAGTTAGAAGATTGATATTTGGGGCACATCTATCATCTTTAACACCATTGATCCCTAACCTCTCACAAACAACGTTTTATTATTAAATATTAGCTCAATCTACCATTTTTGTTAAATCAATGGCTGAAAGTGAAACACATGGTGCAAGTGCAATGTAAAAGTTTGATGTGCATGTGCCCATACGTTTATGTGACTAAGTTCATGATGATTTAACGCTGAAGTGTTTGCATTGGAAGGGGTAAATAACAATGGCAAATAGGCTCAATATTATTTTGAAATAACACACAACTCCTGTAGGTTGGAGATATACAAATGGTATCTACAGTTTATCATTACTAGGTAGGATAAAGTTCTAGTTGAACTGACACAGTGCACGCTCGAGGTTTACATTGTTTTCACTGGCCGGGGCATTATTTACATTGTTTTAAAGGAATTTCATAAATACATGGAACCTGCTATGTCTAGTTACTGCCCCCATGTTAACCATACATAATGAAATAGAGCAATAAGTTGCCTGAATATTGCGGGCCTATCACCTTTCCGGTTACTTCTACGTCTCAAGTTGTTAATCCATGAAAATCTACATGTGAAGTAAAGGAACGTTGACTGCCTTATGATAAGTACCTTCATCACTGAGGGTACCTGCCTGTGAAGGCTAATTCGTTTAGCTCTTGAAAATTGATGCTAGGATCTGGTGCGTTCCCATTGAAAATGTCATCTTGAGACTGGCTTTGGTTGTAGCAGTTCAATTCTCTACGGTTCAACACCTTGCTAGGAGATGCGTCCTTAAAAGAAATGAGATTTCCATACTGTTCATCTTCATTAGATTTTCTTGTGAGAGGGTTGAAATAACTGTCGAAAGAAGGAATTGTCGTTTGAGAATTCACTTTAGAGGAACCATCTTCATAAACTGAAAATAGATTGTTGCTTTTGCAGCCCTTAAGGCTCAGATTTGGCATGTTTTCAGTGGGAGGTATTGGTCCACCAACAAGAATAGAGGCTATGATCTGATAGTCTTTGAATTGATAATCAGTGATCATGTCAACCCGACCGTTCATGTTTGTTGGGTACTCTTCACTGCTTGCTAGTTTTGCCGGCAAGTTTAGTTCACTAGGATTCTCTTGATTTTCACATGAATTCTTCAAAGAGTAGCCTTTATGTCGAACCCGGCATAATACCCAGTCATCCAACTGTGACAGCAAAATACATTCTTACCATTGCATTGAGTTTATGTACTATGAATAAGGGATCACAGTTTCAGAAAAATAGTGTGAATAATTGAATATACCTCGCACGTTGCCAAGTAGAAAAATAATCCTCCCTCCCTAGAACCAAAAAAATAAAAACAGAAAAAGAAAAATAATCCTAGAATTTTTTTTTCTTGGTATAAAATGATTGGTGTGTCTACCATTAATATATAGGATTTTAATAACCACGAATCTCATTTAAGTGCGTAATCCTGAATTCTAAATTCATGGAAGTTGCCTGGTCCATGCTGTTCATGAGTGAAATCTATATTATACTTGGTAGAATGGTGAGATTTTAGTCACTGATGAAAGTAATTCTGCTATAAATATCATGTTATCTTATCAATCTTAATTCTTAAACTAGTCATTTTCTCCCCCAAGGAACCAAAATGTTTATTTACAAGCACACTTACCCGCATGGAGCCTTTTAGCCTGGAGGATGAAGTGGCTGTGTCAATCAATCTATATTCATTCATTATCCAATCCGTCTTAGATCCCTTAGGAGGTCGACCTGAATAAAACACCAGAGCTTTCTTCACTCCTATGCGCTTTGATCCACTTGAAGAAAGAATTGGCTTGTCAGTTCCAGTTGCTTTCCAGTATCCTGAGGCTGCTGCCCTGTTTGGCCTCAACCCATTTGGGTACTTTCTGTCTCTCGGGCTAAAGAAATACCACTCTTCCTCCCCAAACAAAGACTTATCTGCACATTTACAACAAATACAAAACTATTTTCATTTTTCTCAACTATAATCATAAACATAACTCAGATCTGTTTGGATAAATTCCAGAAGTACTTATAGAGAGAAAAAAAATAGGAAAGAAAATCTTATGCATTAGTTAAAAATAAGATTTTGGAGAAGTTAATGAAAGAGTTTCTCCAAACTAGCTTTTAAATAAGCAAATTTATTTTAGCTTATAGTAAAGTTTTATTTCATTTTTTCTCTTATAGAAGACCTTCTAGAAAAGTTTAACCAGACAGGCCCTTAGTAAACAGAAGGAGTGCATGGCAAGGGACAAACTAGGTAGCTCCCACGGGTTATACTTATAGAGATCTATTTCAGCTATGATAGATGCTGGAAGTGGACGTGAACTGATTTTGTTTTGCAAGTAATGAACTATGAGTTCTTCATCAGAAGGGTGGAATCTGAAGCCAGGTGGAAAAGAGTAATGAGAGCCTTGTTGATCTCCCTCCATCAATGAATACTTTGCTCTTGACAAAGGGAATCAATAAGTGCCGATAATACCAATTAGGGTGGCTTTAAATAAGAGAGTAAAGTGTTATCTACATTATATATTTTATATCATTTATATGGCTCTAGTCCCATGCAGATGCTAACATTGTGGAGAAGATATTAGGGACAGGAACCAATTAGTTGCATGTAAAGTTTGAGAGAAGAATACAGAGAAACCCATCAATTTGGCTTTACTCATTGAATTGACCTTCACCTACGTACTAGATAGCAACTTGCGCATGAGAGACGTTGATAATATTATTATTATTATCTGCTTAACACCTAATCGGCACAATGCATAGTACTTCTGCTATAAATTGAGCTATGCAGAAAATTAAAATTAGGATTTAAAATTGATATTATGACATAATAAGTTAGTGTCACTTTCTCAACCGTATTGTAGATGGTACTCTTGTGCAAAAGGAAAAATGTATCCAAAATGAAGCAGATAAGTTACTTGTTTGATTGGATTACACAATGCATACGAGCAATTTAAATAGCCTCTGATACTGACTCTCTATTAATCATAGCTAATAACCCCCCTCGCCCCATAAATGAATAAAAAATTAAAATTCGCAAGGGTACCTAGTGCTTTTGTTTTTCTTATTGTTTGTTTGGCTAAGTTACACAACCCTCTTCTCAAGTCTCAACAAGTTCATTCATGCTAATTAATATTGTATTACTGTTGGTATTATCAATATTCAATCCCTCTAGAGTCTTTCAAATTCACTGGTATTAAGATTTTATTTTTTATTTTTCAAAAATCAAGTAGGTAGTAGTAGTAGTTAAATTTGAACTCCTTTATTTTTCCCACATTTTCTGATTTCCTTTGACAAGCAATTTTTTATAAATAAAAATTATAAAAAAGTATTTATAGAATTGGAAAGAATTTCATTTAACATAAGGCCTGTAAGTTGGGGGTGTAAATGAGTTGAATTGTTCAAAAACTATTTGAGTTTAACTAGTTAAATATTCTATTAATATTGTTTGTTTGATAAAATAAACAAGCTATTGAGCTAACATATAATTATTTAAATAAATCAAGTCCAAAATTTACAAACTCAACATGAATGACTAGTGAATTTTATTTTTTTTAAATTGATGATGGAAATTTTATTGGTCTTTATTATTTATATATTCATTTTTTAAAAATGTAGAACTTTTGTCAAGAACATAAAAATTTCTTTTTCGTAGTAGTTAAGCTATGTTATGCAATATTTGTTTATTGGATTTCATACTTCACATGTTGGATACATATTTCTATTTGTATATTGTTATCTAGTATTAAAATGTTTATTTAACATTAATTGGTATTTAAATTCTTATTTTAAATTAAAAATTGCATTTAACTATTTTATTGTTTATATTATTCTTGTGTATTACATAAGAATAAAAAAATAATGGACATGCAAAGAATCGCATGTCATTTTCAAACAAGCATAGTTTAGATGTAATTGCCATTTATCTTATAAAGTTTAGTGTAATTATTCCTAAATTAATAAATGGAAAGCATCAATAATTTCTTTTAATAATAAATATTAACAATACCTTTATGATACTTGTTTAAAAATTAAAATAATTAATTTTTTAATATAATAAATATTATATTTTTGTCGAGTACTTTTAATTTTTTTTCTAGTCCTGTTATTAAAATGTTTTTTTACTGACGTTATTAAAGAATTAATAAATACAATGTTTTTATTGAAAATTATGACTTATAAAAGCTATTAAACACACACTAAATGTTACAATTCTCAATATTATTTTTATTTTTTAATTTATTAAAAACTGTCTTTTCAATACTCTTTTTAAATATATATATATATATATATATATATGCTAAAAATTCTTATATTTTTTTAATGTATATATAAGTAAATTTCAACAAAAACAACTTTAATAATTTAATGTTCCTAATAAAAAAATACTCTTAAGACAATAATCAGTAATAGATATGTAGTTCACGATATTTTAATAAATATAATATATATTTTATGTAAAATAGTAAAAATTAAATATATTTAAATTTTTTTAATAGATGTGAAATTGATTTTTTTATATATATGTAAAGGTTGAGGCTTGAGAGTTGAGAGAGAGTAGTAATTAAATTTTTTTTCAATATTTTTTTCCCTCTATTTAACACTATAGTTTGACAAGAATTAAAGATTCTCTTGAGAGCTTCGTGACTCTGATGGCCTAGGTTTCTGCGCTAAGCTTGTGGCCTTGGAGAACTTGACGAGTTGTCTTATTACAAAGACATAATAAAACTTCTTCTGCTTCTTCAAATGTTAAGTGTTCTCATGCCTTGAAACTTCCTCGAATTTGAACATTAGACCTTGTCTTCATTTCTTGTCCTTTTTTTATCCTCAGATATCATCACTGTGCACCTTCCAAATAGTACTAAACTATAAACCAAGTTACGTGGGGACTACACCACGCCTTACATTTTCATTTGGTGATGAAACCCAGGTTTTGAGTTTGTTGGTGACGAGTGAAAGCAGCTTTTGATTTGGAACGTACCTGACAAAACTCGTAAATAATCCATACAAAAATGTTCACGTTGACAGAATAGTAAACTTAGTTCCAATCGATTTTTGTTTGTCATCTTTCGCCAATTAAGACCCGAAGCGTAGGACCTTTTATCATGCGTCCATCACGAGGATAATTCATTTAATCTGCACTCGGGTTTAATTACTTGGTGTTTGATAAGTTTAATTATGACAATTAAAAGTATCTACTCTAATGGCATAGGAATTATGCTTTGTGAGCTAATTAATTCATTTATAAAACAAAGAAATGATCTTTTAAAATATTTTATAACTTAAAAATGTTTATAATAATATTACATGTTGTATATAGCTAGCTAGGTTTTGTAAAAAAGATGATATTGTGCATGTATTTTATAGTATTTTGATGGTAGGGTCCATTACAGGCCTCAAGTTGAAGATGCGAGTAAAGCTCATGACACAATATTATGCAGAAAACTGGAATTTGTTGGTCAACAAGGAAATCTTAGCAATAGAGGAAGTTACATGCACTTGCATACAAGTTAATAAAAGTTTGCGATGGAGTGACTTATTTTCAGTTGAGCACTTATCAATTCAGACCCGATTGTGTTTGGGTTAGATCCTTGATGCGTAATCCAAAACATATTAACAATGATCAAATATGAATTTTATTAGCAATTTTAATTTGGAAAACATCTAGTTTGAGCTTTGTGCCAAAGCATAAGTCATGATTGGACGAAATTATAGGTTGCACCCGAATCTATCTATTTCCAATTTCCAACACTTTTCTCTCAATTCATTATTTATCATATATGGCCAAAGGAAAAAGATTCCCAACTTTTTATCACTTTTTTTCCTTTACTCGGGACCCATGTCTTTGCGTCCAAATCTTAATATTTTCTTTTCTAAGAGGCAAGAATGGTTTTTTTTAGTACATAAGCGATGGACAAATTCGTTAGCTTTTTCAATCAACTTAATTTCCGTCATCATGTGATATAAATGTTTATACCTTTTTTTATATATAGAAATCTAAATTCATTTAATACTTTATTTATATAAATCGAAATTGACATTATGTATATTAGGAGAAAAGGGGACATTTCGTGTCTTTCTATTTAAAAATAAAATATTAAAATGACGAGTGATTATTTAAAAAGAGATATTTAAAAATTGAATATAGTTGAAGGTAAAAAAAGATAAATAAATAAATAAAAGATAATAAAGTTAAAAGTGGTTTAGAGATTGTTATAGGAGTAAATTAGTCTAAAATTTGTATATTTTAAAAGTGATATTTTTTTATTAATAATATAAATAAAACTGAGTTATTGTTATTCAATTTTGCTAAATTTTGATGCAAATTATAAGATAATATATAGTTATAATTTAATGATTAGGTCATTGTTGCAGGTTGAATTAATTGTCCTGTGGCGGAGGCTAGGTGGGTCAAGTCACTGTCGAATCATGGCGCTTGGACTGTTGCGCTCTCAAGTAAAAAGAGTTGTGCCCTGACTATCAGCTATAACTTTTGGCTTAGTGGTAAGCGCTCGATCCAACAATTAGTATTAGAGCCAAGGTCACGAGTTCGATACCCAGCGGGATAATTGCTTAGGAGGAGATTGTTGCGGGTTGCATCAATTGTCCCGTGGCGGAGTGGGCCAAGTCACTGTCGAATCATGGCGCTTGGGCTGTTTCGCTCTTAAGTAAAAAGAGTTGCGCCCTGACTATCATTTTTGATTGTTGCGGGTTGCATCAATTGTCCCGTGGCGGAGTGGACCAAGTCACTGTCGAATCATGGCGCTTGGGCTGTTTCGCTCTTAAATAAAAAGAGTTGCGCCCTGACTATCATTTTTGATTGTTGCGGGTTGCATCAATTGTCCCGTGGCGGAGTGGACCAAGTCACTGTCGAATCATGGCGCTTGGGCTGTTTCGCTCTTAAATAAAAAGAGTTGCGCCCTGACTATCATTTTTGGCCTAGTGGTAAACGCTCGATCCAACAGCCATGAACTCCACCTTTTATTTTTTATTTTTTTATAGAAAAAACTACATAAATTTAACCTTTTATATAAATTTATTAATAGTATAATAATTGATTACACATTACATAATTTAATTACTCACATACACACACGAACTTGTATTGTTCCGAAATTTATTCAAGCCCCTCACGGCCTCACTATTGATTTGTGCTCACTGTAAGCAATAATGATATTAAATTATTTTATTAAAGTTGTGTAGTCTTTATGGTATATGTATGTAATCATTTTATTCGTATTATGCTTATAAGATCTAGCATCCTTTTTTTGTATAGTATTTTGTAATATTATTGGTGCTTCCATTATGTTATAATTTTTCATGGCAATCATCAAATTACGCGAGGTTATGATTACCGTTAGATTTTAAACATCATCAAACAAAATAATACATAATATCATGTAGCAAAATGTACTTTAGTGTTTGTCCTTAATCTTTTTGGGCCTCTGCTTAACTCAATTGCCGAATCCAAGATAAATGATGGCTCGGAAGGCCCAATTTTGTTAGACCCACTGGATCAACAACTTTATTTTATTTTATTTTATTGTTAGTCGTATACTTCTGCACTAAGAAAAGAGTTCTACTATTTTAGTGCTCCACTCTTCTACTTTTAATTAGG